TAATTATAATAATAATGATAATAATATTATAATAATAATAATGATAATAATAATATAATGATAATAATAATGATAAATATTACAGATAATAATGATAATAATAATAACAATAATAATAATCATCATCATCTTATTATAATGGAGCTAAGCCCGTTAGAGGGGTCAGTAAAACCTTTTTACACAGGTGCCCATAAAATCTACAAAAATATGATTCGGACAAGAATTGCCCCAAAGGGTTACGTGGACATATTTTCAAAGTTCGGAAACTACCTTTTGATTTTTCAGGTTTGATGGTTTTTTCCTGTAAATCGAAGCTCTCGGATGTTTTCACTCTGCCTTTAGCCATTTCATATTTTCCTGGGGACTACTTCCGTTTCTTATGGTGCTTCTTCGTGCATGTGAGTAGTTCGCAAGAACAGAAGTGCGATTTGTGCTTTGTCGTGTGTGTGCGCCACAGAGTTCTACTTTTTTGGAGAAGTTAACACGAACACAAGTGCGGTTTGTGTTTTGTTGTGTGTGTGTGCGACAGATTTGTACTTTTTTGCAGCAGTTAGCAAGAACAGAAGTGCCATTTGTGTTTTGTCGTATGTGTGCGCCACATAGTTCTATTTCAGCTGCTTCTTTTTGCCCACGGTATATTAGTTGTTTTTTTACTAGGGACTATTTCCGTTTCATATTGTGCTTCATCGAGTAAATGGATCAAGTTGTACATCTTATCAAGACGCATGCAACCAACTTGGTGACACTGAGAAGGATGCAGCAATGCAAGAAGCATCTCCGTTAAGATTTGGACCTCAGTTACATCTTGCCTTTACAACCATTCTCATCTCTATCTTTAAAGCCATAGACCGAACACCTCAAGACATATGTGGGAATAACTCTCTGTTCGGTGGGCTAACTGTGCTCATGTCAGGTGGCTGGCGCAAAATACTACCAGTAGTTCGCCATGACTCAAGACCACAGAGAGTCAATGCAACGCTGAAATCATATCTGTGGGAGCATGTTAATGTGCTCAGACTGACAAGAAACATGAGGGTTTTGCTTACATATGAGACTGCTGATTTCTCCAACTATCTACTGAACATTGGTGATGGCAAACACAACGTATGCAAGCAAATTGGAGAGTCTGCGATAAAACTGCCAGATGACATCACAGTGAACAGCGAACGAGAGTTGATAAATTTTGTCTTCGGTAACTTGCAGTCTAACACAAATCCTGACTGGCTGGCTTCCCGCTGTATCATCTGTCCTACCAACACAAAAGTAAGCAGAATCAACAACCTGATCATGCAGTCCTTTTCCGGAGAAGAAAAAGTCTACAGGAGCAGTGATTCGGTGGAAGAAAATGAACACCAATACCCCATCGAATTTATCAATTCTCAATGTCCGTCTGGTATGCCACCCCACAAACTGACTTTGTCATGTTGCTGAGAAATTTGGATCCCACAAAAGGCCACTGCAAACGGGACTCGATATGCGGTTCAATGCCTTCATCAACATGTAATTGGTGTAGCTGTTGCTTGCGGTCCACATGCCGGAAAGAGACTTTTCATCCCAAGGATTCCCCTCATGCCTTCAGACAACATATTTCACTTCCATATGCGATGGAAACAATTTCCAGTTAGACCTGCTTTTGCAATGACTGCCAACAAAGCTCAGGGACAGACTTGAAACGGATGGGGTTTTCTTTACAGGGCGATTTTTTTTCACATTGACAATTATAAGTTGCAATGAGTCATGTTGGGTCCGGGGACTCTATTAGGATACATGCAAACAGACCTGCTGCCCAGGACGGAGTTCCAGATGGCGCATATACCAGCAATCTTGTCTACACAGAGGTGCTACGATAATGAAACAGGTACCGGTACAAACATTTTATCGAGGGCTTTCCTATCGCCATATCACCGTTTGTAGAACGGGTCTGTGTCTAGTAATAGTAATAATAATAATAATAATAATGATAATAATAAATAGCATTTGTATAGCGCACAACCCCACTCTACAGCAAATTCTGTGCGCTTTACACTATTTATTCCTACCCCATCAGACCACTCAGAAACGTGAGGTGAGGTGAGAGAGTAACAAACAAAAAAAGAAAGAGGGGAGATATTTCTTTTTTTAGTTTTAGTAGGACTTTTAAAGCACTTGCAACAAAATGAAGTCATATAAGTGCCAAAGATTAAAGGTGTTACAAGAGAGCAGCAAACACAAAAAAGAAAGAGGGGAAATAGAGACCATAGATTTTTTTACAGGAAAGAAGGAGCAAACCACACCAGAGCACCCACCCGCCAACCACCTACAGAGCGGAGATGTGGATGATAGATATTTGATAGGAAAGAAGGAGCAAACCACATCAGAGCACCAGCCAACAACTCGATAACGCAAAAACAGTATAAATGAGTGATTTTCTGTCACAGACCATAAGTGCTTTAGTTTCTTTTTTGAAAAAGCAAAAATAAATGGGCTGTAAAAGATTTTTTACCCAGCGTAGAGCAGAGATGAGTATGAATTAAAAGGTGTATGAATTTATAATGTTACACATGTGTCAGTACACTATAGGGGTTGGGGGGGGGGGGGAGGTTTCAACTCGTACACAGCACTAAGTGCAGAGAAGCCCACAATCGCCTGAAAATAATAAATAATAATAAATGGCATTTACATAGTGCTCAACCCCGATTAAAGCACACAGGCTCTAGGCGCTTTACAATACCATACAGTGTGCAACAGTAACTGACCAAGGTATCAACAAATTATTGTACTGATATTAAATACAATATGTCCACAAAGCAAAAAAAGGTGGACCAAAAAAATGTCTAAAAAGTATACAACCAAAAAAAAAAAAAAAGAAGAGATGTGTATAGATTGGACATTACTGAAAGCGCAGTGCATAATCAGTCGCTATCATGAGAACGGGGCAGAGGAGATGAATTACAAAATAAAAGGTTAAATTTGACATTACTGAAAGTACGGTGCACAATCAATCAATATCATAAAGGCGGGAAAGGACGCCAGTGTGGGCAGAGACCAGTGACATCTATGAGTCCAGATCACCAGCTGAAACTGACACCGGCCAAATGAAATGGGATATCTGTAATCACCACCACACTGCCGTAAGCTGACAAAACGCCTTTTTTAATTCAAAGCAGTTTCGAGAAAAAGAGAGAGTTTTTTTGTCAACGCAACAATTTAAAAAATATAGTTTTTCTGAAATTTGAATTCGAATTTATTAAAAAACTAGTCCCAGTTTCACTTTGATTTTTTTCACACGATCAGGCTCTCGATTAAGCAAATTAAAAATTTTGGCGTCAAAATGAAAAAAGGCGTTTTGTTAGCTTACGGCATGCTGGCAGCACTGAGATTTGTCCCTCTCCATCCCCGTCTCCACTTCCAACCACCGAGACAGGTCACAGCTGGTGGTCTACCACAAGAGCCACAAGCTCATGCACCGTGCATGGGTTTTAACTCAGAATTTTTAAAAAGGAAGAACTTTCCGCGTGATCGCAGATTGACGGGTGCTCTAGTATGTATGCCTTCTTTCCTATCAAACATCCATCGTCCAGATCTCTCCTTCTTTTTTGTGTTTGTTACTCGCTTGTAACACCTCTAATATATGGCACTTATAGGACCTTGTTGTGTTCCAAGTGCCGTAAAACTCTTACTAAAAACTAAACAGAAGACCATTTTCGCGAGACACCCACTATTATTATACTGTTGAACCCTCGTATACTGAAATAAAAACCATCTATTTATCAAACCAAGAGCGCCGTAAAACCTTATACTATACTATACTAATACTAAACCAAGATTATGTCATACCAAATTGAGTGTTTGGAAGATAGTTTCAAGTAAAAGAGTCACTCACCAAATATTTACAATCTTGATAATGTACAGAAAGTGGTGGCGCATTATTGGGAGGTGCCCCTCCCAGCAGTGGAGGTTAGCGGAGGAAATGGCGGTAGCAGAAATCGGCTAAATCCCGGCATTTTGAGACCCATGACTGTGCCATGTCATCAGTTATAACGGGGGCAGTCGTGGTCAAGGGGTACAGGGTTCGCTTCTCATTCAATAAGTCCTGGGTTCGAAACCTGACAGTGATGAAAACATTTTTTCTCAACAAATTTCTCCTTTCACCTCTTCTCCTGCTCTCTGGTCATGTTCTTTCATCTGCTTCCATCTCCATTTTCTGCCCCCCCCCCCCTTTCATTCCTCCTCCTCTGGCTCCTGACTCTTTCTACTGCTAATCCTGGCTCCTTCTAACTGCAGTCTTTCAGCCACACCCCTGATCTACCACCAAGCTTTCTCGGATAAGGGCGAAAATCGGATGTCCCGTGTGCAAGTTGCGCATGTTTAAAGATCCCTTGGCAGTCTTAAATTCGATAAGAGTACGCTTCGGCTGTCACCAGGGCAAAATTCAAAAGTCCTACCAAAACTTAAATACTTCAGTCAATATAAAAACATATATATAGAGAGAGAGAGTACCTTTGAAATCAGAATTAGTTTGCCTGATGGCAATAGGCCCAACAAAAGTAGGAAAAACGGACATAATAATAATAGATAGCATTTGTATAGCGCAAATCCCCACTCAACAGAAAGCTCTATGTGCGTCACAATCTATACTATTACCCCAGCAGACCTGAGAGCATTCTGAAACAACCTCAACTTCCTGGGAAGCATACAGTGCAAGCTGCCATTTATAGGCGTATAAAACACTAACATACTGACAAGACCTTTTGCTTTCTATGGCCGGGTTCCCATTCCCACCTGGGCGAAGTAAGGAAAATTCGTGTAAAGTGCCTTTAATAATCAGTTGCACTCCAGGTTAAAGAACCAGCAGTAGACTACCCCTGGGACATAGTGGGGAAACGCACAGAAGAAGAAAAAGATGAGTTAAAATACTATTGCGGAAAGAAAGAGTAAAGAATATCAAGCACAAAATTTCAAGAGATAACTAAACAAGAAGAAAACTTACTAAGACATCGGCTCGAAGATCCACGAGAAATTTGACTCCATCTTTCACACGCCCGATGTGGACAAAAAGGGTCTTGAATTTCGGGCTAAGAGCAGTTCGCATCCTGTCCGCTGCCACATAAAAGCTGGCCCCTGATTTCTCCTGCAAAAAATTGTTGGGTTCACTTCAGTTATTTTGTTGTTTTTTTTAATTACAAAAAAAACCCCGGCTAATTGAACACTGAGCAATAAACACTAAAATTTGAAAAGGAAACACCTCAAGGAGACATTTTCAGTTTGTACTTTTCTGGGTCGAGGTTCTAGAAAAAGCCCAAACACTTGGACATGACATGGTCGCTTTTAAGCATAAGGGGGCTATCCCGGAAAATGCTGTTTTGAGGAAATCAAAGGTAAAGTTTGAGAACCTTTGTTCAGTTTCTTTAAAATACAAGAAGAGTTCTTTCTATAACCAAACAAATATACACACCAATGAAACCTAACTTCTCCAATAGGTAGGGCAATGCCCACATTTGGTGTAGGTCAAGATTTTTCGGATCCGCCGAAATCTGGGTTAACGACCACATATTGCTTTAAACTCCACAAGAAAAATACCATCTACCACCCCCTCCCTCAACCCTAATATAAAAAACAATTAATCTTAAAAAATAATAATAAATTACTTATTCCGGAAAAATCGTAAAAAATCTCAAACCAGTCAAGATTTTTAACTCACCACTGCCGTAGAGATGCCAGAAGCACATCCCATCACCGTCTCTTTCTCAAAGCCAAAGCTTCGGGCCAGCGCACACAAAAAGGGGCCTTTCTTCTCCGGGTCCAGGTTCTTGTAGAACTCGATGAAGCTGCTGCACTTGGCCTAAAGAGGAGGACGGTGCTACAACAAGGTCAATCAGTGCTAGCAAACCTGAGCAATATCGCCCACTACCACTACTTACAGCAATAATGATAATAATAATAATATCATAATCATAATAGTAATAATAGAAATAATAATAAAGTATGATAATAATGATTAATAACAACAACAATAACAACAATAACAATAACGACGCCGACGCCAAGGATGATGATGATAACAAAAACAACAACAACAATAATAATAATAACAATAATAATAATAATGATAACAATAATAATAATAATAATATAAATAGAATTTTAATAATAACAACAACAATAATAATAATATTAATAATAATAATAATAATAATAATAATAATAATAATAATAATAATAATAATAATAATAATAAAAATAATAATTGTATATATACACAGTGCACATTCATGCTCTACAGCAAGCTGCCCTTTATAACTATTAGTACCCAGCAGACCCTAGAACAATCACAACGAATTCTCCACTTCCAGGGAATCATACAGTGCAAGCTGCAGATCCCATGCACTCAAACACTAACAAACTGACAAGAAACCTTCTCTGTCCAAAGCCGAGCACCCATTTCCACCTGGGTGAAGTGAGGAAAATGTCATGTAAAGTGCCTTTCCCAAAGACACAATGTTGGGCCCCTGATGGGATTCGAACCCACGACCTTATTGTTGTGAGTCTGAGACACTAACCACTAGGCCACCCATGTCACAAGTGGGTGATTTGGTCAATTTGGTGGGTGATGGGGATCACTTGGGGGAGTGACAAACATATTCTGTGTCACGACATGGTGGAATCAGGCTCTCGCCAATTTTGGGTCATATAGAGAGTTATTGGTATCATCTTAAAGCTTGATTATTTGTCTTGTTTTGGGTGAAGAAAATATCCATTTATCATGAATAGAAGTCGAGATATGTTTGATTGAAGGAGGTGGAGATCACCTAGTTTCAGAAGTAACCTCTGTGAGAAAATGGCCGCCAAAGATATAGTTACTTCCTTAACTTGAGAGTCCGTGGAAACTGAAAATTTACATTTTTTGTGCCTTTAATAATCATGTCTTTTCAATGAAATCCACACACCAATGTGTTCTTTAATGGGCATGAAAGGGTTTGAGCCACAAAACAAAATTCGATAAAAATTCACAGACCTGCGGAAAAATATCCCTTTCTTCACTTTGATAATTTTGACAAGTGCCTGGTTTCACGATGCTGCCTAAAATTTAAAGCCCCGCTTGGAAATATATACATTATAGATGGCTGGTAGGAAAAATTTCTCCTCTTGAAAGGGGCAAAAGTGAGAGCTAGCCATAAAAATGTTGAGCCGACACTGAGGTAAAAGTATCAGGCAAAAGAAAAACACAGAAATGTTCAAACCAATCAAGACGACAGTGTACATCATCATGCACTTGCAAGTTACGATTCAGAGCTACTGTATTTCTTTAACTAAAACAATTCCAATAAAGTTTACAAAATAAACAGTGATTTAAGAAAATTAATTCGGGGAGGGGGTGGGGGGGGGATTTGGGGGGGGGATAAATGAAAGTGTTTCTTGGCACTATATGAAGTCTATAAAAAGTCATCCTAAAATTAATTCGTTCTGTGTAACATGTTGCTGTCATTCAGCATTGTAGCGAGTCAAAATTTCAAAAAATTGAAAACCTAGTATGTTGTACAGTTTGTGAGGTGCACTGATTGGTCCTAGTCTCATTCCTCATCTTAAAATGGGAGGCATCATGGTGAAATCAGGCGCTCGTCAAAATAATGAAATCAAAGAATTCAGCATTTTTTGGTCAAAGGGCAATTTTTTTCTATTTTTCTTTTTTCTGCTCTACACCTTTTATGTCCTTTAAAAAACACATTTTTGCGTGGATTTTACTTTTAAAAACATGCATTGATTAAAGGCCCAAAAAAAGTAAATTGTCAAGTTTCCAAAGACGCTCAGCCTAAGGAAGTTCCTAAATTTTTGCGGCCATTTTCTCGCTAATTTTACAACTGATACTCGGCGACCCTGACCTCCTTCAATCGCAAATATTTCAAAATCTATTCAACATAGATGGATAGTTTTTCACCAAAAATTAAGGTAAATGAACAGGCTTTAAGATGATATCAATAACCCCATATACCCAAAAATTCATGAGCGCCTGATTCCACCACGCCATGACACAAATAGAAACAGATATAGACTTTACTTTACTTTTCAGATCCAGCGGCCACCTGAGTTCTAGCCCTTTGGCCTCTATCAGATATATATAGACAAATTTAACTTTTTTTTAAAAAGATAATGTCTAGTCCCAGAATCAAAAGATTTTGCTTCTCCTGAAAAATCTATATTTTGGCATATATTATTAGGGGGTGTATACAGACCCGGTAACCGGGAACAAAGTCACAAAGTATACAGACCCGGTAGGGGAACTCTTTTGTGATTTCGGAGAGTTTCAGCGCCCTCTTGGCTCAGGGTAGACCTAGGTTCTTCTAGATCTATGGTCTAGGTCTAGATCTAGGCAGACAGACATAAATCTTTCATCTAGTTTCGCGGCTAACCTAGATCTAAATGAAGATTGCGGATGTCATTTCGATGAACGATTGTTTTTCCTCCGTTTTGGAATTGGAGGAATCACAATCCGAAGAAAAGAACAAGTTACAATGTCATAATTTCAATCGAGCAGCCTCTCTCTCTCTCCTCTGTGTACCGCTCGCCTTTTCTTTTTCTTTGTTTGTCTCTGTATTTCTTTGTCCCCACCTATTTTCCACTCTATCTTTCTCTCGTTCCCTCCTGCCAACTGGGGCATGTCATATACATTTTGCTAACACCCCCCTCTCTCTCTCTCTTTCTCTCTCTCTCTCTCACACACACACACACACACACACACACACACACACACACACACACACACACACACACACAAAAGATTTCTACCGGGTCCACAGGATTCTACACTTCTAAGTGTAGAATTCTGTGACCGGGTCTGAGGTCTGAAACTTCCCGAAATCACAAAAGAGTTCCCCTACCGGGTCTGTATACTTCGTGACTTTGTTCCCGGTTACCGGGTCTGTATACACTTCGATATTATTATTTAACAATGATGAACAACGCAAACGATATATCCGTACCTCTGAAGTCAACAAGTTTGAGTCAATGTCCGAGAAAGTGGATGCCAAGAAGCTCCCATCAACCTGGGTACCGTTGTTCACATGAGAACTATTCATGGTGGCAAAAGGCTGCATTCCTAAGCTGGCTTTCACTTTGAAGCTGGGACTGAAGACCTGAAACATATGAGACACACATTGCTGATTGGAAACAACCATCAATGATCTTGATTCCTCCAAATGTCTGTCTTTCTCGCCACCTGTCTGTTTGTTTTTCTGTCTCTCTTTACTACAATGTGAAATTTTTTTTCCATTTTATGTCTGACTCCCTATTTCTAACTCTATTTCATTCCCTCAAATAGTTTAGTAGTTGACACGGTTAACTTCCTCATGGTCTTTAAACATTTTTCACTATAAAGTTTGAAGAAACCTCTGCAATTTCAAAAGTTTAGTAGAGGAATAAATTGCTCTGATCCAGCCAGCCTTCATTTTTCAATAAACAAAGAATTCTGTTTGTGTTATGAATCATATCAACTTTTTCACACGTTCCACATGGCTTGGAATATAAACAACGAGTGAAGAGGAGACAAATAGTTAAAGAAAAATATATATATACGAAAAAGAAGAATGTTTTTTATATTACTTTTACAGAGACAAAGAAAAAAGATAGCGAGTGGCCACAGACAAAGAGAATGAATATGGCCTACTGAATAATTAAAGAGTCAATATATAGGGTCCTTTCTACAGGCTAGCTTGAAATTGAAACTGGACGGCAAAGAAATATTAGATCTATATCAAATTTTCAAATGGGAGAAGAATTCCTCCGAGTTCGTCAACAAAAGTCAAGAGAGGTGCAGAAAATCCGGGTCTTCTTTTTTTCTTTTTTTTTCTTTTTCTATAACAGTATGGAAGTTATTCTTTTTGTCTAAAATAAGCTGCTCACACTAGCATATCACATCTGTTGTTGGTGCTCTGTGTTTGATGATTGAGTACCCATGATATGAGGGAATGAGGGCGTGTATGAGGGAGGATAGGAGTGTGAGGGGAAAAAATACATATTTGGAGATGAGAGAGAGAGAGAGAGAGAGAGAGAGAGAGAGAGAGAGAGAGAGAGAGAGAGAGAGAGAGAGAGAAGAATTATTTTAAATCACACCTCATACCATAGTGACCATATGATGACTTTCATTTCATGACATCTAAAGCTGATCTTGCGCTTGTAAACTAATTTAAAGAAAACACAATGATATAGAATCTAGAACCTCATTTGAGATTGACACTGCAAATAAGACTGGGGTGATTTTTCGGCGCTTTTTCGGTAGTTCCCACCCCGCAATTTTATTCACGGGTTTGGGCCACAAGAGTAGGGGGATTTCAGGGGGGGTTGCCCCCCTGACCTAATAAAAATAGGAAGGGGGGTTTCAGGGGGGGCATGCCCCCCTGAATTTTACCATAATTTAATGTTTTGCAGTTGTTAGGTTTGATAACTTAGCTCACCGCGAATCAAACATATAGATCTAGATTTAGATCTAGATGTAGGTCAGGCTCAAATAAGGGGGGTGGGAACTACCGAAAAAGCACCGATTTTTCTTCTTTTTTTTTTTTATTTCGGGAAAGATCTAATATCATACTTTCTGCATCGGGGGCTTGTCTTTAAAAGAAAGAGGTGACCCTACCATACTCAGCTGTCTTAGACGTCGAACTGTCGCTATCGTAAACGTCATGGCCATCTCTAGGCCTAAGCAACAGCACAGCAAGCAGGATATTTTTATAAGCGGACAACCCACACGTCCTCCACTTTCACTTTCGTTCTTGGCTAGCCTACGGACGGAGCTGGCTGTCCGTCCGGCCAGAATAAAATCATAAACTTTGACCTCAAACAAGATCCGGGGCGTTGAGGTCAGAGGCAAGAGGAGTTACTCTATAGGCCTAGTTAATGTTAATCCAGGTTGAGTATTGATGGATCCAGTTTGGCCGATTTACACCAAATCTGTCCCGCTTACAGGTACAGGATACAATGTAAGTAAAGACTAAGGTTACTAATCTAAATCCTAAATCATCTGTTTTCTACAATGCTTTCATATTTGGAAAAACATGCAAAACCAGCAAAAGTGATCTTTCCATTGCAAAACTAGATCTACCTCTTTATTAAAACTGTAGGCCTAAAAGTTGTAGGCTATTGTTCTGCAGATTTTTCTAGAAGTGTCAAATCTGGAGACAACTTTGACCCACTGAACCAAAATGGCGCTGCCCTTGGTACGTGATGATGTAAAACTGTTGGGCTCTGTCAAGTCAGTCAAGTCCAAGTAAGAAACCTAGGCGATTTTGTAGTTTCGTTCGTTAAAGTCAAGCAGGGGGGTTTCAGGGCCCCCCTGACCTAAAAAAAAATATGGAGGTGGGGGGGTTCAGGGGGGCATGCCCCCCTGAATTTTATCCTAATTTGATGTTTTGCAGTTAGGTTGCATCCCTGCTCTTTGTGTAGCCTAATTCAAATAGTATTTGGTCTTCAAGACTTCTGGATTTCTTCTCTGAATGTAAACAAATGGATCGTGGACTTTAACGAACGGAACTACAAGATCACCGAAACCTATTCAATAGAGGGCCTGTGGTTGTAGGTTTGTTGTGTAATGCCTCATCGTTTGTACACAATTCATGATTTATGAGGGAAATAGATGGGAAGATTGAAGAATACCGGACCACTCGTACATTATTGCGCGCGAGAAAGCGGGGTAGGTGGGGAGGGTGATTGGGGTGGAGGAGGGGGGGAAGGGGGACAAAATTTTTAATGAATAGATCTACCTGTCCGAGATTCTCCATTGAGAGATATTAAAAACGGGAAAATTATGAATTCCTAAGGTTGAAGTTGAGACATAGGCAAAGTCAGTCCGCTGGTCCGGTATTCTTCAATCTTCAATCTTACCAAATAGATTCTAGGGTTTGTTTGTAATGTTTGTAAAGTGTTTTACGGCGCTCGCAACTGCATAAGGTCATATGAGCGCACGGAACACACCTAATATTTTCAGTTGGTAGGAAATTTTGAATTTTGCCCGGGTGGCGGCCGAAGCCTACTCTTATCGATTTTAGACCACCAAGGGATCTTTAACGTGC